GAATGATTGACAAAACAAGTGATAATCTAAGAATGTAATCTTTATTGTGAGAGGATAGTGAGCACTACTGAGTTACTTATGGAAAGGACAAGGGGAGTTTTAATGAGTATCACTATCCTACAGCTGTATGAGGAATCACAGCTCAGCTTCGGCTGATACGCTGCAAGTGTGCCTTGCTCAATTGCCACTCTGAGGTGAAAAATAGGTAACGAGCAAAGTCTTGCTCTTTACAGCAATTTTCATAGTCCATCAGAAGCTATACTTAGTATTCTGAGCACCACTATGTCTTTACTGCTTTTGCAGCCCAGGAGACTTTTTTCTTGGTTTTTACAAAATAAATAAATAAATAAATACATTAAATTTTCATTAGTGAACATCTTACTCCTAGTGTCACTACAGAAATGTAAACCCTCTTTTAAGATAGGACCTTACAGGTGATTTCTGGGGCATTTACACCGGCATAAAAATAAGTGCTTGTCTGGCTATGGTATGGTATAACATTCCAGTGAATTAAGTTGTTTCTCCTGGTTGGACATCTGCATCAGCACTGATTATTTCAGCAATGTTTTTCAGAAACTGATCTTAATTTCTAATTTTATTTGAATGTAGAGGCTGTAGTAGAGAATGGCAATATTTGGCTTAAATTTTCTTGTACAGAACAAGATTTATTTTCTTCAGTTAAAGAAGAATATTTTTCCCCATAGAATCTACTGTGTTTTTTAAGCTTTAATGTATACATAGATGGCAGAACCAGACTTTCTCTCTATATGACAACTTCTTGGATACAGATAAGATTTTGCTGATATATTTTCATTTTAACTGACGATTGTCTTTTGAAAGATCCTTATGAAAACAATGCAGTCAAGAATCAGGTTTGCAGGCTTTCTGTGGGAATACTGTCAAATGTAATTGTATTAATGTAAGTGGGATTAATCACTAGCTATTGTAAATTAGAATGTTGTCACGAATTTCAGTTAAATTTGACTGATCGGACGTGCTAAGCTTGCACAATAGTGGCATAATTATCAAACTGACCTGTTGTTCCTTACATAAAAACAGTGATGCATTTACATTTGCTTCCAGTGTATTTTATTGTATGTCTCAGAGCAAAGATAGTTTAATTAAATATTAGTGAAAAGCTTTTTCTAGACGCAGACCTCTGGAAATTGCTTTAACTCTCTAACGTTTAGAAAGCATACTTAGGGCAATGGGATGCCTCCTCCTACGTGCTTGCTTTCACAATGATGGAAAATAAAACATTTTCGTGAAGGTATGATTCCATTTCAACTTGTTCCACCAGAAGTTATAAAAGACAGCTCTAAGTTTTGTATTCTGATAAGGACTTCTGGATCAAAATCTAGGAGAAGGAACTTGGAGGTTACATTATATGACAGATGAAACTTTTAAAACTTCTGTCAATCATGTTATGGACCTCTTCATGCTGGTGTCCTGCCAGTCCCCTACCATCTCTACTATATCCTCAAACAACACACTTTTTCATAAGTGTAGGAGCACAAGAAGTCAGGACTATCTTTGACTGTATTTGAGTACTGTCAAATGCAATTTTGTCATGGAAATGAAACGTAATTATTGGAATTCCCTGCCTGGCCAATGTCTACTAGTAAGTAGTTTAAAACCACCTTCAGTGACTTAGAACACTTTATATTTATTTAAACCTACACCTACTTCTGTACCCAGTTAATCTGTAGTGATTTACATTAGATGAGGATTGGAAAGAGATTAATGCTTACTGATTTAGATGCTGTTTATTTTTCTACTATAAACAGTTTTGAACTGTAGTCTTTTCACTCTACAAGCCTTGTACATATATAGATAATAGTGATTCTAAATTTTGTCTTAATTCTCAATTCTCAACAATGCTAAAGATTAGATTATTGAAGGCAATAATGTACCTAGTGTCTGTTCATATGTCTAATTTCAAATATGTCCAAATATCTGTAAGAAGTTGGGGATTACACCAATGTAACTTTAGAGTTAACTGTATTGATATAATTGGGTCTATTGTGGCTTAAAGCAGAATGCAAAAAGAGAACTGTTTATAATTCTTTAGTATTTGAACTCCTACCCTGAAAAGCATGTCAAACAGTAACCCTGATGCTTTCCCTGCCCACCAATGAACTCATTACAATAGTTGCTGTGATACCAGAACTGTACAACTGAGTTGGGAATTGAATTGTGGTCTTCCACACCTCAAAGCACTGTGTGATCTATGTTAGTTGTTAATTAATTGTGTCAATTTGCTAGATGACAGCAAAATCAATCCTATCAGCTTCACTATTTTAGAAACATCATTACTATTTAAAGTTATTTCTTGGAATTCGATGTATTCAGAATTACACCAAGAAAAATACAAGCTCAAATAATGAAAATCTTCATAGTTTCTTTACCCAAATGTGTAATTTCGGAGAAACATACGTTTTATGTTCACTTTGTTTGTTTCCAAGTTTTCTCTACCAGACAAAGCCCTTCATATATTTTAATTAAAAGCCAGAGAAGAAATAAATTGTCCTTGGCATATGTCATGCTAATAAGCACTGGTTAGTTTGAAAATACATGTTCATTGGTTTTACATGATAATTTCCCTTTGAACCAAAAGGCCTCGTTTATACAGAAACATTTTCTGGAAGCAGTAGGGGGCATCATTTCACTTTTGTAATTCTTCAGAGACATCATCCCAGTGCATAATGTGTGCAAACTGAATTTTCTATTTTGTTTATGGCATTAATCCTAGGGTTAAGGTTGGCCTGTGGTGAGCAATAATAAGTTTAACCTTTGACTTCATACAGTAAGATGTAATTTATCATTTCTAGACTCTTTTGTAAGTGCCATTACCCTTGCTTCTCTTTAAAATAGAGACAAGTAGTACTTGATTTCACTTAATATCAGTGATCACTAGATGCAAAACAGTAATTTATTTATTGTCTGAGCCTAGTTCTTGTCCTGTGAATAAGTCTTTTAATCAGTACAATTTACTTGCTATTAAATTTGTTTTAGTCAATTTTTGTAACTTATAAAATGTTATGTCTTCACATATAATTCGAACAAGTAAAATAGAATGTCTCAATAGACCCAAACTGTAAGAAATATGGAAACAAAGCAAGCAAGCGAAATGTTCACGTTCATATATTTCTTTGCTGCACTATTATGATCAGGAAAGCATTTTAAAATTAAAGACAAAGATGATTTAAGAATTAGCAGCAGGTGTGTAGACAGTTTTTTTAATATAAAAATAAGTGAACAATGTGACTGCTAGTTGTAAAAATTCCCTGTTTTTGTGTTAGTGAGTTTTCTTTTTTAAAGCACTGTTTTTTTTTAGTTTGCATTATGTATTTACGTTATTTTGTTTTGTAACTGAGGAATAAATTTATAGTAGGTTCATTAGTCAGCATGCTCTTCAAGGAAGAAAAAGTGTATACTTTTACATTGCTCGTATTGTGAGTGCATAATCTTTCTATATTGTAAGAAAGTGCTGATTCCTCAAAGATATTTGGACAGGGTGTAGAATGTCACACATATGCTGATTTCTTGCAAGGCATTTTGGTTTCAGGGAAGAATCATTTAGGAGACTCATTCAGGCTTGTGCCCCTTAATAAGACCAGAATTTTGGAACTTTCTTTCCTTCATATCAGGCCTGTTATATTTTGATAATAAGGCCTGTCTTTATCATAGCAACCATCTCATTAAATCTTGCCATTATTTATAAAGTATAAATACAAGTTAAAAGGTAAAATAATTTGAATAAAAATAAAAGTTATACGTACTCTTCTGGAAGAGTACTAATGCTTGGAAAAGTTCAAAATACATTTTTTTCATCCTTCATTTAATCTTCCAGGAGGGAAAAAATGAGCTGTAAGAACTCTAACCACTTCTAACCCATTCACATGAAAGCTGATATAGAAAATGGGTGCAGTTATGTAATTTGCATGGTAATACAACCCATGATCATTACATTTGGTCATCAAGAGCTACTTGATAGTAGTTTCATTCTCATTTTAGAATAATGGTTTAGCAACTAAGGAGGCTGACAATATCCATACTATCTGCTGACATTTGAATCTTCACTAGCTCATTTAATAAAATTTATCTTTTGGCTGAACTTGCTCACAACAAGGAAAAAAGTGATTAGCTCATTAGCGTAATTATAAGTAAGAGATATGTAGAATATCTAGAATATACAGAACATGTAGAGTCCAACAGCACCAGTTGACTCTTATAGCACACAATAGAAAATGATGAATTGTTGGAGTAATAGATTCCTCAGAATTATGGAAGGATGACCAAAAATCTCCCTGAAGCCTGTTTTTCATAGATATTCTTTATAACTTCCCTTAATTTTTAATTATTTTAGATAATGAAGATGTAACAGGAAGAGTTAAAGGTACCGTTATTTACGGTTTCACACACTACAGCTGTACTGAGTTGAATGTGCTTAAGTGTGTGCTAAGGAGGAAGAAGTTATTCTAGAGATACTGAAGGGAAAAAAAAGAAGAAAGGATTTATTTTTTTGAAATGTCACACCCCCTGTTCAAAAAGATTAACTGCTTTTTGATAGGCCAGCCTGCTGTATTTGAGCACAGAAGACCTTTGTGAAAAATGAAGGGTGTGCTGGTTCTTGGTGAACCAAGAAAATGTATTGTGCTAAACTATTATTCACACTGGAATATGTTATATGAAAATAAGTATGTTTTTAATAGATGCCAAATCCCAAGAAGGGCAATCTTTCTCATGGTATTGGAACACCAGGGTATGCTAACTTATACTGGAATAAAATGAGAATTCTTCAGCTAATGATAAAGTGTTACTTTGCATACTGATTATTGGAATACCTGTAAAAAATTGCAATTTGGAAACAAATTTCTCCTGTATGCTAAGAATTTCTAGATAGAAGTCTATTTAAATGCCAAATGTGTGCATTTGACTCATTAACATACAATAAATAGATGTTTTTGTGCAGTAGCTATTTTCTCCACTATTATGGGTACGTGGTAGTGTTAGCAGAACTGTTGCGTTTGGAAGTACCAGAGTATTGGTGTAGTGGAAATGCTAAGTAATAGCCTGAAGCAGTGATTGAGCACCTGATGGGAAGGGAGGGCCAGGGTGGGAAGGGAGCTCAGGTGCATGTAATGTACCTGAGTGACTGGAAGAATGTGCCCCTTCTCAGACCTCATTTAAGGGTTGGCAGTGGAGGTGAGGAGTTATGTAGTTATGGCTATAAATAAAATGGCAGAGTACTGGGGCGAGACATAGTGTTTCTTCTGATATGTCTGTATTGGGTAGATCCTACTGCTGAAGAAATGCTGTCTTGACTGCAAGGGCTAAGAGTAATACAGGAATGCTGTGTTATTCCTCTACTTAGAAGGAACTGACCCTGTGAAGCTCACAGAAATGCTGCTAAAGTAACTACTGCTTCCTTTGCTGTCATGTGTTTTTCCCAAGTTGCTTGGGGAGATTATATTCATAGTAGGAGGGGTTGGAATGGAAAGATAAGTGCTAATGTGAACACGTTGGTTCTAAATGTATGTTGCGGTATATGGACTTTAATACCTCATGTTATGTGGGTTATAACAAATGGCAGATGCTATAAAAATACTGTTCTGAAGCCTCTTTCTTAATTCAAATATTTCCTCTTTGAGATAGCTCACGGTTCTTTCAGCTTTTTTCTGAATGTCTGTGTGACATGTGCTGTCTGCTGTGGATAAAATTGTATGTATAACTAAATACATGGGGACCATCAAATATTAGTCTTTTAAAGGCTGAGATCAAGTGAAACATGGATCTGATTCCTGATGTGCAAATATACATCTTCATTTTTTCTCATGTATTTCTCTGTGCCCTTTGTTGTAGAAACCGTAACTACAAAATACTTATATTTAGGGAAAAAGTAACATCTTCCTTACTTCTCAGAGACAGCATATATGAAGCTTTTCCATGACTCTTTGTAAATAAGTGGGAATGCCCTCTTACCACTGTCTGGATGGTAAGAAAGTCACATCTCAGTGGCACTGAATATGGATTAGGATCTTCATTCCACCTTCCCTTTCTGGTGAGTTTCTACTTAGCTACAGCTGGCTTTTTTAGGTCAGCAAGATGGCTAGCCTTTAAAAATAGCAAGTAAAAATTTGGGGAATAGGAAAGTTATGGCTCATGTGGAGAAGAGAAGCACTTTGGTGGATGAGGATGAATAAAAGTCTTGCAGCAGGGAGCTTCTCCTGACCCATTATTTTTAATCGTTCTGGAGCTTTTCTGCAGTGGACACTTGCTCTAACTGCAGCTAAGTTATTGGTGCACCTGAGCTGATGCAGCTTCTGGTACAGATAGGTAAAGTTATTCTTTGCAGGATAATAATGCTTCAAACAGGGATAAATGCTCCTGGTGCAGTTAAAGTATTTGCTTATCTGCACTAGAAATGTGTGCTGCTGCTCCTGGCTATCAGTGTCTTTTCACTGGGGCATGTTCCCTTTTAGAAACAGAAACTTGAAAGCTGAAGAAATTAAGTGAGAAATTATAAATGAGTGAAAATTACCTCTCACACAAATACAAATGAAAAACAAAGAATTGTTTTTAAATTTTCTTCTGTGAGCGAGGCTGTACTAACTATAGTAATTTTTTAATCTTCTCTAAAATCTACGCTGCTCCTTGGCCAGTGGCCAAGAGAAGAATTGCATTCTGACAGTTTTGCCTTTTTATAATTCTATCAAATACTCATAACTACCCAATTAAGGCAGTTTCTCTTCTGCTAACATGCTTTTTTCCTTGTATTTTCTGTCAAAATTTCTTTTTCTTCTGAGCTTAAATACTTGAATTACTGCCTCAAAAGGACAGATGAACATTTTTAGATATGCTGAGATAGCTTCATGTGTTTTTTTTTTTTCTGATGGGCTGTTATGACTTAAGGGCTCTACAGATCCTAATGCAGTGGCATCTGAATGAAGTTTCCTTGCATGTGGAGTCTGGCTGCGGATTTCAATGTGTTGTCTTTTCTTTCTATTCTTTTTGTAATACAGAAATTTCTGGGAATATTCAAGGAGTGCAGTACTCTTCATTTTCAGTTGTCAAGGTAGCTGACAGCTTATTGTTGTATTATGAATAAATTATGCCAGGGTTCACACTTAAAATAAAAGCACAAATGCTTCCTTTTTTTCTTCAAATTTGACAGCTTAAGTTTATATTAAGCATAGCATCACCTGGATGCATACTGCATGAAAATATTAGACTATTCAGAATGAGTTATTAACCCAAAGCTTTTACAATTTCTCAGATGCCCTGAAGTGATTCTGTAGGCTACTGTGGGGTTATGAATATGAGAGAGAACAGGGGCTTCCAGTAAACGTCTAATAGGCTGCAGTATCAGCAGATGTCATTGTTTGGCCACTATTTTCAATAAGAAGGTGTTCTTTATTGTGAAGTGTTGTGTTGATGTCTAACCATATTGCAAGAAAAAAGTGCTGTGTTTGTGTACTTTAGGTTACCTTCTCATGTCTAAAGTAACTGCATAGCTGGGTTTGTGGTTTAAATATAGTCTGTATACTTGTAAGCCAGCTAGCTTTGGTTCACATTTGGTGCATGTTTTTTAACAGCGACATTTGAGATGTCAAAGCTTAATCGTGTCTCAGTGCTGTCTGAAGAGCTTCTGGTTTCCTTACATCTTAACAAGACTGTTTGGAACAGACAGTTTGCTGAAAACTGAAGGAATGAACTATAGATATGGTCCTTCACTTAAATATTTGATCAACATTGGTGGTAGGTGACATAAAAGTAACAAATATAGAGACAGCGTGTGCCAAAATAAAAAGCAGTTTGTCTTTTGTTCTTTGATTTGCATAAATTGAATGATTAACTGAAGAGCATGAAGGCATTTTATGTCTTTAAGACAGCTGCCTTTAAATTCAGTGGACTTCAAATCATATTCTTAGTGACATATTAATGATTGTCAGAAGGTGTAGTAGATTTTGATCCTGATTCTTTTTTCTATTGTAGCTTTAGAATGCCAGAAGATATGGTTTGCTCCATATAAAGAAGGGGACCATGATCTGAATAGTTTGAGAAGAACTTTTTGTCCTGCTGCTTTTACTGTAAGTTTTAATGCCAAGATCTTTTTATATTATTATTTAAGGAAAAAATCAACTGTCACTATGGAAAAGTGAGTTAATCCTGAAATAGCAAAATAGTTCAGACAGTTAATATGCAAGCCTCAAAACTCCCAGCTAGTTGTAATGCAGGGTTGGAGAAAATGAAGTTTAGTTAGCTAAAATATGTAGAATATTTTCCCAGTTACTTCAACTCTGTGTATGATCATTTTCAGTTTGCTTAGCTTCCCATTAGCTGCCCAGTAATGTTTGTATCCAATAGAATGTTAAGAGTGTTCTCACTGTTATTGTTTCATTTTAAAATGTACAGAAAAGGTGAAAGATGCTGTTCTTCCCACTTTCTCTATCTCCTAGGGTAATTTCCTGTTAATTTTTAAATAATTAACTTTTCTGTTTCTTCCTTTACCTGTGTTCCCTTCTGGTGAATGTTTTAGATCTTTTTATTTCCTTTTTTTTACATTTATTGTTAAACTGCATAGCTATATTCAGAGGTGAGATGAGTGTGGGTATCTGTTGCATGGGGGGGAATAAAATCCAACAGACTGAACTATTATATTTTTTCAAACAAATTTTATTGCTTAAAAACAGTACAAAAATTCTAAACCCCATACAGACTAAATTTGAATGTTCAATGAAATTACAATTTGCTCCATGTTCACCACAGGAAAATCTGCTTAGGTTTTCTCTCATCCGACGTATTTGAAGCTTGACCAGTGAAAATGCTGTCTCAGTACTCTGCTATTGCCATGGTTTGTAGTAGATAGTGTCATTTAAAGGATTGTGGATTTGACAGGTTCATATATATAGATATAGATATATATATAGATAGATAGATAGATATCTATATCTATCTATCTCTCTCTATATATTCTTCTGTACCTTCTGTATGACAATCCACTTGTTTTATTTCATAGCTGCAAAAACTTGTTGGTATTTAGGAGTTATTTTACTTGTTGAGATAGCTCAAGAATGAAGCATTTTTATGATTTTTTTTCTTCAGATGAAATCAAATAAGTCATAAATGTCTCCAAGTACGTTGAAAAAATTAAAAGTGAAAATGTTCTTATTCTTCCAAATTTTACTTTGAAAAACAATACCTTTTTCCAGCACTGACTTCTGGTTTTCTACACAGTAGCTTGAATTTCTACAGATCAGAGTGATTTAATGGCTTTTTTTTAATAATAATGCAGCCAGCCCGAAGAGAAGTTGTGCTCTTTTTTTGTGAGAATTCTAGTCTGTAAAGATAGCAATTTCCATGGATGTTCCTGTTTGTTTTTTTTTTAAAGTGATTATATAATTTATTTAAAGCATGAACACCAGGTATTTCTGTATATGTCCAAAAGAGACTATTTACTGATCTCAGTGAATGAAAACTCATTCCCTTTGACTATCAGAACCACCTTTACTGTTACAGTTGCAGAAGACAGTAATTAAAATATATTTAATATAAGCCACCCTCATTTTGAAGCTGCCTCAGTTTGCAGCCCTGAGGGAAGGCAAGTAATTAAGTTTGGAGGCAGCACTGAAGCAAAGACAAATAATGATTTGGACAGCACTAGCATAAAGGAAGGCTTCCATTAGATTCTAGAATGCTGTTTTTGACCCTTAGTGGATATACTGCTCCAAGTGCTTTTAATTTCATTAAATGTTAATGTTGGGTATTTTAAATAGAAACAATATTAAACCATGGTTATTCTCCAGAATGTCTATTCCATGCTACAAAATTAATGCCTTTCAACTCAAGAGTCTGATTGGAATTGGCAATCAAAGTCTCTCCAATAGCACCCCCCACCACCATGCATACAAACCAAAGCTTGTAGTAAGAGCAGATGAATGGAATTACAAACAGCAATTGGAGTGATCTGTTGATGGAGTAGAGTGTTAGACAGCAGGAATGTGAGCAGAGGAAGGTGAAGCTGATCTTGGAAATTAATGTTTCTGTGGGCAAGGTAAAATGAGCAGTTATGTGATTGTAATTCCACAGGAAATGGTATTTAAGTACCCAGCTCTGAAGCTAAAATTTGGGGATCTTGATACTTGCAATCATGATACAATGAAGATAAGTACATGACTGTGTCTGAAAAATTCCTTTTTCCAAGACTTTGTGGCTCTGTTTGTCTCTTCACAAACCATTGAGAGTTTGAATGAAGAATTCCAGAATGACTGTCTCATTTCTGTTGAGTTCTGCAACTTAGATTCCATTGTTTCCTATATGTTAACTGTGATGTAACATCTGCTAACAATGTGTGTGTATGCATATAATATGTATTTGTAGGCATAAATTTCTTATTTCACTGACTGATATAAATTAAACTGAATCTTCTCTAGGAATCTTATGTTGTGTTGTCATCAGCAGAGGCGAGTATATATATTTATATTTTTCCAGGAAGTGCAGCAGTATTGGTTACACTAAACATCAGAATGCCTGCATTGTAGCAGTATTTTCACCACTATTTTGTTCAAGCTTCAATTTGCAATATTCTGTTAGAAGATGAATTTTTTCACACCACCTAAGTAAAACCAGATAACACATTTGATGTGAAGAGTCTAAGAGGATCCTTATCTTGTTGAAGAAAAACTTGTCTCAGGTCTTTTTTTGTGAAAAAGAACAGAAATAAACCCCGTGTTCCTGGGCAACAAGTCTTCTCAATGAAAAAATTTCTATTGCTTATGAATTTTTCAGCTTTTGCTGAAAACGTTGTTTACTGCATTTTCTTGTGCTCACTGTGCTGTCAGTAAGTTGCTGTGTTATAAAGTGCTTTGGGACATTCTGTCCATAAAGAGGTACAATAGAGAACTAAATTCTGTTTTATTTGATTCCCTGAAATGGTGCAATTCATTTTTAGTAAATACTGTTGCCAAAGTGATCTAAAGTCATTCTGTTTAAGCATCTGACAATGCCAATACAACACTCTTTTGAATATCTAATCTGAATACCAAAAGGAAATAATAGGAGGCTATATTGGTAGGGATGGTCAGAAAACACGATGAATAGTGTTTTTCAGGGGCAAACAGTATTCACTGCACTTAGGAAACTTCAGGATTTTCTGTTCTTTCTCCCCACTGTTGTCAGTGAATTACTTTTCTTAAGTTTTGCTAGACAAAACATGATAAAGTCGTAAAGCTAGTGGCATTAGAGTGGCATAGAATTTGCTTGTACATTAGAATTATTCTAATATTTTAATGTGTTGAAGTGCTGGAAGTTGTGTGAACTTTTTAATCTAATATCTTGTGTTTTAATGGGTCACAGTTAGATGTATATCTGTTATATTTCCAGTAATGTTCAAGAGATAATGAAGACATAATTGGGGCAAAGAATTGCACATAAGGATAAGGAAGTAACTCCACTCGCATTCCTTTTGTTTCAGAGATTTTTAGGCCAGAATGTTTCTTTTTCTCCCATCTATTTAAACATTTTTATCTTTATGGGCTTGCCTGTTAGGCATATTTCAGGATGGTTCTTCATTTTTCTTTGTTATTGTACAGACTCAGCATTGTGATATCAACTTTGATCACAGAAGAGTTGGTAACTATGCAATCTGATTTGAGAAGGATAATTTTTAAGTATATATTTCAGTATTGTGAAGTGCATGTTTACCTAACTGTCTAACAGTCCTCTATTGTTGTTTAAATTATGTGATAAGATGAGCTTACTGTGATAAACATTTTGGAAAGGATAAAGGAAAGATGTAAAGGAGTCTTGGAGCATTATCCTAAGTATACTGCCTAGAAACCAAGCATAAAGGGAATCTTCAGTGGTTACTATGTCCTGTACTTGGATGGCAGTGAGAAACTATTAAGGTATAAATGAGATTTTGGATCAATGACTGAGGGTTTTAGAATAACTGTAGACAAAAGAAAACTACTATCAGCCCGTTAGTATATATTGCTGCTTCTTATCCTTATACGTTATATCTTTCTGAGCTAACAATGCTGAATTTCTTGTTGTTGTTGTATTCAATATGCTTCAAGAATATTTAGTTATAGAGAAAGATAATAGTCTGTATTTTATTGTTTCCATTTGGCACCATTGCCAGTGCTACCAGTTTTCCAGTAGTGAAGTGATTACATTAGGATTTCTCTGCCTTTAGGAAGGCTAATATTCTGAATTACGTTGTTCTTTGTTTTTTTTTTTTTAACATGAGTCTCAACCTTCAGCACAGAGGATAATGATTTTGTCAAACTGTAATAATCCCAAGTTTTTTTTTTTTTCCAATTCCTGATTATTCTTCTACTATGAAGTTTCATAAAGTCATACTTCTTGGAGCTGTTGTGTTGTTACACACTGCTTACTGATACTTCTGAAAAGTCAACAAACACGAACTGCTATTAGGAATATGACTGAAAAGGTGCAAATGTGAGGTATATGTGCAGAATCTTTGCCTTTTCTCCATCCCTGAGAAATAGGTGAAATTGTATAGCGTTTCCTTTTCTTATGATCTATATAGATCTAGGTATCCTTAATTGGTACTTACCATCCTTGGAAGTTAGTAATTCTATGGAGTTGGCTTGTGGAAGGGTGACAGTGGGGAAGAAAGGGATCTAATAGACTATTGTTTCTACCTCTAGTTTCCTGAGCTCTCGAGAAGCTTCATATTTATTGCCAAAACTTGTATTCTTCATTGGGTACCAGACTTCCAGTGTCCCATGGGAAAAGAATGAGCAGTGAGAAAGCAAACTTCTGAGAGACAAGAAAAAGATACAAATGTCTGCCGTTCTGAATGCTTTTTGGATTGAAAGTAGTTGAATACTGCTTTGAGTGAAATGCTTTGGAAATTATCTGTTCTCAGTCAGCTTAGTGATTTCATATAGCAGGTGAAGTCTCACAACCCCATTTGTGCTATGGTTCACTTCTTTCATCATAGTTAGGGAAAGAACTGCTGCTGCTTTTTTTTCTTATAAAAGTTCATTAAATGGAATTGTGCTGCTACAGTTTTAACAAGATTGAGAAAAGACATTTGTATAATGAAATGTATACACACAGC